AACCAAAATGATCAAGTTGGGTTCCTCAAAAATTTTCATATTTAATTATTTGACATTTTCATTTGATTGTAATCCCTAAGATATTTCATTTTTGTCTGAACTCCAAATTAAGATGAGACTTAATAACCAAAAATCAGCCAAACCATTTATTAAGCTAAAGACATGTTTTTGGGAGAGAGAGGGAGGGAGTGCAAGTAATAGATCTTAGGTTCAAAACCTTCTGCTTACACTTAAAAAAAAAAACACATATTTTTCCTATGTCACGATTCAATCAGAGTCATTTGATTAAAAATGAGGAAAGACTCGTTTATAGAAACCTTTGGTACAACATTTTTAAGCTTGAGCTTCCATATTTGATTGCTACTAAAAATTAAGTTGCACAAAGGTTATATATCCGGTGTTATAGTTTCTCTGCGAAATTGGGAACATAGAAAGAATTGGCAACACAGTGTACTATAAAATGACCAGTAGTCAGGTTCGAAAGTGTAAGATCTTTGTTTCTTGAAGCTTGTTATCTAAGCATTGCCGCTTCTTTTCTTAGCTTCTTCTGTCAAGAAATCTTGGTAGATTTTAATCTTTAGTACGTGACAATGTCGTCAAAGAAGTCATGGAAGTCATGGGTGAAGAAAACTTTTACTTCCTCGTCCAGAATCCATTCAAAGGATGAACCATTTGAACGGATTACTAGTCCATACTATGACCCAGTACGAGGCAGCACGTGGAGTACAGTAGAAAGCAGGATGGCTCCGAGTCTGAGTCAGATTCGGAGTCTGATGAGGAGTGGCCGGAGTTGAAGTGGGAGGCAGAATATGATGAGAATGAGCATGTTTACCAAGGCCATGGGAGGGAATATGACGGTCGAGTCAAGTCGGATAGTGAAACTGAGAAGGAAGAGGAGAAAAAAAAGGCTCCAGAGGAGTCTGCCTACAATAGTTACTGGGGGAATCAGCAAACTATGTACTATGGGAATTGGGAGGATCATCATCAGCATGGACAAACACAATATTCTTCTTATAGTCAGTGGGAAGAAAACTTTGCTCATGAATATGATCAGCACATGAGGATTGGCCCGCCCGAGAATTCTGATTATAAGTATTGATGAACCGAAAGTTAATGTTTTCCTCTTATTCCATGTTTTAGTTTTGGTACTTTTGGCGCTGCAAAGTTACGAGTTTGTATTTTATTTTCCCAACTAAAATTCCTTTTGAATCTAAATGCCTAAATTTGTTTCTACGAGTAGTGATATTATTGACTATGCAAATATAAGGAATGAAAATTCGGTGATTGAGGGTTCTACTCTGAGTTTTGAGGAGCAAAAGAGTCTTTCAAACTTTTGGCTTAAAAGATTTGCAATTGATACCAAGAATAATCAACTAAATTACTCAAATATCTCATTTTTAACTAAAAAGGTTGCAAAATTATATAAAATACAAAAAAAAGGAACTTTAGGGTGTGTTTCATAAAAGTGAAGAATCTAAAATCTGAAGTTTGAATTCATTAAATTATTGAATTGTTAAATATTAAATCAAATAAATTTGAATGTATATTACATTCATTAATAAGTAAATAGTTTATCACTTATTTTTGGAAACAAGTTTTGCCTAGGAAATTCAGTGCTAAATAATTAATTCAGATGTTTAATTTTTTATTATCAAACGCATCTTAACATATTAAGATTTGAATCCATTAAATTTAAATGTTGAATTGGGTTATCAAATGGGATCTTAATAACCCTTTTGGTCAAACGGATGAGCTCTTGCTTGCTTTTATGCTTGGCCTATAAAGGAAGAATGGGGGACTTTGAAATAGATAAATAAAAAATAAAAGAAAGTAACATGCTAGAGATACCTTGTAACAAAATGTTCCAATTTCTTTTTGCTTGTGCAATGCCCACCCTCTCAATCTATAAGACTCATACACCAATGAAAAAAAAATTAACTTTTTCGATAAATTAAAATGTTGACTTCATTCAATTGAAAAACCATAATATAATAGATTAAAGAAAATTAATTGCCCGATACTCAAAATTTAAAGGACTATCAATTTTTTTGTGTTCATGTGCATACTTGTGACTTGTTCATCGAATTTCAGTCTACATTCATTGGTTGCCACTAAATAAACTCAAACAACATTTAGTAATTATCAACCGTTTTATTTCAACTCGAATCAAATTCTCCCTTTTTCTTCTTCCTCTCATAATATTCGAAATTTCTTGAATTGAAAAAAAAGTCAACTCGATAAAAGCAACAAATTACAAATTTCTAGTTGCTTAACAAATTTACCATACTCTTGAACAAAAAAGAAATAATATTAGAACCCAAAAGAAAAAGCTATAAATAACTAATATTTCGTTCAATTAAACTCGTTTGCGTTCCTTACGTTATTGGCTTGTACGATGTGCTTCATGTACATATGCTGTGTTTAAACTTTAAACCAATGGATAGCTATTTCTTCTGGCAATGAGGATAGCCTCTGCCTTTTCCCCTGAAGCACCAGCAAACTTATCGTAGCTCAACAAGAAAAGGAGGTGCTACAAAAATTCAGAACTGGTGGGCTACTTTTTTTCTTTCTTCACTGGTTGGAAATCACTAGCAAGCATGAAATTTGGTTCCTTATTTTCACTTTTCTATCTCATATTCATTTTTTCTGATTATTAATTTTTTCTTGTATATAAATTGTTGTTCTTGCTGATGCTACCGGGGACTTGACATTTCCAAATAATACCCTCTATCCCATGAAGATTTATATGTTCTCCTTTGGTCCTGTTGTTTTCTAAATTTTGTTTTGTGGATACCAATTGTTCGACGAAATGCCTATTTATTCTTCATACTCTGTGGTGTCATCGAACGTCATCCCACTTCAATTCTGCAACCTGAAAATCCAAAATGTGTCTGTTTTACGTCCATCCCTCGAATTTGTTCCTCGTAAATGTTCAACTTATCTGGCTTCGGGCTGCAACAAAAGCCAAGAATCAATTTACAAAGTGGGCGGTTGAGAGCTGGAAGCAGCAAGAATAGTAGTAATGTGGTTGCTGAGGAAAGTGTAGTGACAAGGGGTTTCGAGTGGGATGATGGTCAAGTAGAAGAGCTTAGAGAAATGGTGGAAGATGAGGAGGAGGGACCATTACCATGGGAAGGTGCAGTAATTTATAAGAAAAGTACTTCGATATCCCATAGAGAAAACTGCACTACTTTGGAAAGGCTAGGACTGGGAAAGGTTTCATCTGGAAAGGCTATTTGACTAGGACTTTTAACAAGCCCAACAAGCCATATGGCCCAAGCTATTTTTTTCAATTCACAAGGCAATTTTGATTGACTCAATAATGCCCAGTAGACATTTGATTTGTGAAGGCCTTTATTTAATATTATTCTTGGGAGAAGAACCAATCCATAATATATGGCCCAAGTCTTTTAAGTTCAAAGCTCATTTTAGAAAAGTCCAAACATAAGCTTGACCGATTTGACTAGAATCCATCCGGCCCGTTTGAAAAAGAGCATGATCCGACCCGATTAAGAAATGAGTCGGCTGAGAAATGATCGAAATACCCTTGACTACTCATTGCCCTGTTTCAGCTTCGACCAATAGCAATTAGCTATTGTAATTCAGCTTTTTGACCTGGAAAACCTTCAAACTGGATTTAGATGTCTTCACCAGAGTTGTAGATCTATCTCTTTTCTTCAAATTGGTTTAAGAATCATCTCAATCCGATCATTGTAACTCAAGTTATAGCCGAAATACGAAAATGTGTCAAAACTGTTAAAATGCACAAAATCCAAGTAAAAAGTGATAAAAACCTCATTTAACCACTTAAAAGTATTTTTCACCAATTATAGCAAAAATGATTTATTTTCTTCCAATAATATACCCAAAGTGAGTAACAGTAATATAAAAAGTCATACAATTATTACATTAATTAGTCACTCATCAATCGTCACATTAAATAAAAAATGAGCAAGCCAACATGCATTTGGTGATTTTCGCTTTCCACTTTTAAGTCTCTAGCTAGTTGCCAAATTAGTAAACATCAAACATCAGTAATAAACGACTAAAGAAAGAAAGGAGGAGGCTTATTTACCCTTCTGGTCATTAGATAGATGATTTTGTTCGTGGTTGGGTGCTTTTATACATGGTCTATAGAGGAAAACCGGGAATAAAAAAGAGTCAAAATTTGAAAGAAACAAAAAATAAAAAGCAAGGAAAAAATTAGGAAAGATAGCACAGTGGCCCAATAAATTTGTAGGGTGAGGCTCCTTGACATATATAAAAGCTGTTTGAATCAGCAACATTTGAATCACCAAATCGGTTGACTAAGTAAAAATGTGATTTAATTACATAAGAAGTTTGTTAGAGCAACATCCCAATCACCAAATGGGTTAACTAAGTAAAAATGTGATTTAATTACCTAAGAAGTTTGTTAGGGTTTGTTAGAAAACATCCTATTTTATACATATCAAACTCAATCTATATTGAGGTTTGTAAGGATGTGATATTTATCAAATTAGAATTTTAGAACTTTTTTTCCAAGTATGAATTTGTCATAATTATCAAACTCCACCTTACTCACTCTTAGATATTCCACAATTTAGAAATTAAAGTGAAAATTTACTTTTCCAATATGATAGGCTAATACAAAAAAATATCTACAATTCAGAAGCAAAAAAAAAAATGGTAAAACAGAAGATTCAATATATATATATATATATATATCATTTGGTTTGTGGGTTTTCTCAATTTTTGTTTTAAAAGGTTAAGAGAGGGACGGATCCGATCCGATATAAAAAATCCGTACACTTGGTTAATGTGTGAATCACCAAAATCACCAAAAGATTTGAGACCCATAATCCTTGGTGTTTGTTGTCTGACTAAGTTAGGAGTTATTTATAGTGCCTAATAACAGTAATAACAGTAGAGTCAAATAATAGTAATAAGAGTAGACTAGTTTCACTTTGCAGAAGCCATATCAGACTACAAGAAGAAGAAGAAGAAGAAGAAAGTAGAACATGACGAAAGGAAGCAGCATGATGGCTATGAAGGAATGGTTTGAGGGTGGAAGAGTTGCCATTGCTATGCTAACGGTACAAGTCATTAGCGGCGCATTACAGATTATGGCCAGAATAATATTCAATCAAGGAACCTTTGTTTTTGCTTACTTGTTTTATCGGCATGTTGTGGGTGCAGTTTGCATCGCTCCTCTTGCTCTTCACCGGGAAAGGTTATATCTGACTGCTGCCCTCTTTGTCTTTGGTTTGTAGTTTTGTGCTATTTGGTGATTATGGATTCCGTTAGTTAATGCTTTATGATGCAGAGACGGTGGTAAGAAGTTGAGCTGGGGCATTTTCTTGTGGCTCTTCGTGGTTGCACCAACCGGGTATGTCTTCCCCCCCCCCCCCCCATTTTTGTGCAAGGTAGAATCGGTTATATTTTTAATTTTTTTTTGGTAATCCAGATGATTGTTAAATTAGGTTGGGATGACAATATTTGTTAGTATTTGATTGCAGAAAATTAAACATGGTTTGATTGTTTGTTGCCTTGTGAACCACCGTTGAGGCCATTAGTAACTAATTATGCCCTTATCTTTCTGTTGAAAACTGAAAGTTCATTCTCGGATTAATAGTTCTCGTTTCTAGATTAATCACTGGTACCAATCTTTCTATAACATGGTGTTTGTTATAGCCCAGAGCCACTGGCCATTTGGTCCAGTGGTTATTACCATCTTTGGTGATGCTGATGCTGGAGGTCAAGGGTTCAACCCCTGTCTCCCACAAACTTATCACTTTACGTGGCTGGTTGGCTCGAGCGGTCCGCTCTCCCTTCTTAGAGTATGACGACCTTCCTGACTTGTCCAGGATTTGAGTCCCGTTGTTAACGTGTTCGATGTGGAGTTGAGTCTACTCTCTCGGGTCGTAGGAATTAGTCGGGCTCCATAAAAATTGATCCGGACATCCTTATATTAAAAAAAAAAAAAAAGTGTTTGTTATAGCCCGGCAGTTAGTCAAACCCAATTCTTCATACTGATTGATGATTTTGATACTCAAAACATAAGACTTTTTTTTTTTGGTCAAATTTTTTTGAAGGACTCAAACCATAAGAGTACTGCAAAGTGGCAACTGCCTACTCAAAACATCATATGCACAGCAGAGATGTGGGTGTCATCATTTCCAATGCTTCATTAATTGCCTTTTAAGAAGAATGTACTGACTCGTGCTCATGTCTTCAGGTTGACCATGGCGCTGGGACTTTTCTGTTATGGCATGTCAGATACCACTGCGACGTATGCGACAAACTTTCTTACGCTTGTTCCCGTGGTCACTTTTCTATTCTCAACAATTCTGAGGTGGTCATGACTTTAAATTGCTACTAATCTTCACCAATCTTTTCTATTTGGATTAGTTATTTTTTAGGGTAATTTTTCTGTAACAGAATTTTTAGAGTATATTTTGAAATATTTTTAGAATATATTTTGAAATATTTAAGAGTTGCGGAGTTTTTATAATATATTTTGAAATATTTTTTAAACATTAAAAAAATTTAGACTATTTTTTAGAGTATCTTTTAGAATACTTTTCAAAAACTTTTATAGTATTTGAAAAACTGATGAATTTCATCTTACTCATTCATAAAAAAAAAAAAGAAATTCTAACACGTTCTAACTTACCTGAATTTGCTTTTAATTGATTGGTTCAGAATGGAAAAGGTTCAGCTGCGCACCAAAGTTGGGAAAATGAAGATTTTGGGTACAGCAATATGTTTTGGCGGTGCACTAATCATGGCTTTGTACAAAGGCAAGGCCTTCTACATTATTCACCGCACCCAGAAGCACCATCGTATGCTAACAAAATCTAAGCCTCAAAACCGGACTCTTGGAACCATATTCCTAATTGGCAGCTGCTTGTCTAACTGTTTCTGGTTTATATCACAGGTAATTGACTATGTTTATCAGAGTTGGAAGTTAAAATCAGTATGGAAATTGGAATTGTATATCCTTCAAATTTGTTAAATTTCTTTGAATTGATTTTGATAGGGTAAGTTATTAGAAATATACCCCTACAAGTTTTGGACAACATTTTTTATTTGCATCATTGGCTCGATGCAACAAGCAGTGATAGGGTTATGCATCAATAGATCCAGAGGAGTTTGGCGTTTAGGATGGAATCTAGAGTTGCTTACCATTTTTATCTCGGTAATAGTCCGACATTTTACTTCAAAATTCTCTAGTTTTTTAATATAAATAAGTATGGCGATGTGAAGTATTTTCATGTTAAAACTCAACAGGGAACTTTGGCCACAGCTCTATCCTTTTGCATGATTTCTTGGGCTGTAGCAGAACGAGGTCCTTGACAGGTCGTCAGCCTGTGCAATAATAGTAATAAATATAGAACCTAACTACCACTAAAAGCAGTCAATGATTAATCCTAGGTACTGGAGCAGGGACTCTAGGTGTGCAATGGGTTACTTGATTCACCCTGTTCCCGAAGAGTTTGCTTAATCCGATATACCAGTATTAATTAATTGACAAAAATTACTGAGTAGTAGACAGTGGCAAGTAGGGTCGTCTCCTCAGGGACTGGAGATATTTGTCTCTTTTTAAAGTCCAATCGGTAAGGGGGGGGATTTTACCGGAATGAAACTAAAAATAATTAGACAATTTAATTAAAAATGAATAAATCACTAGCACAAATATAGCAGGAATTTAGTCAGGAATAAATAAATTCTAGCCAAGGATGCAACTACTCAGGCACAGTCCATTTATCCGATCATTGATGCAGGAGAGGTTCACTTAATCTATTAATAGGCTAGTTATAGTCTGATGACCAATTTTTCCTTAAATTATTGATAACCAAGGTACGACCGTTGATTACCCCTAATCAGCAAATACTCCTAGGTACGACCATAGGAATTAATTTCCCAATTGCATTAATATTAGAAAAACCTAGCCCTAACCAATAACACGCTACGAGGGTTATTTAAATTAGATTGCACGTTCCCCTAATGTGTAAACACACCAGTTGCCACTAATATTAATCAATCAAACAATTACGGATTTAATTGACTAAATTGGCACGAGATTAATAAATCACATTGAACATCGGGCCCTTGACATCTAATTAATAAAATAATCCCATGAAAATACAAGCAGGCAATGTGCAAATATGAATAAATTAAGGAACGCGTAAAAACTAATTAGATCTCACAGATTTTCGGGACTGCGCCGTCGAGTTGACCCCTGACTAGATGGAAGACTTAGCCACGCCGCATAATTAAATCATCACACGAGTTAATAAATTGCGAAGGCATTGTTTTGTACTAAAAAGTAAGGAATGAAGGATATTTTCCCCGTTGGGGAATATTGTCAAACACCTGGCGTGTGTCAGAGGCCAATCCTAGGAAAAGAAAAGAAAACTAAAAACTGAACTAAAGCAAAAGAACTAAAAGCTGGCCGTCCGTCTTCTGTACGTTAGCTATCTATTTAAAGCCAAAGAAAAGCTATCCAGTGGTCCCCACCAATTGGCCACAAGCTGCCCCATTCCTTCTTAGTTTCCTTAGGCTTTGTACGTTGCTTCTTCTTCCATAACCAAAGGACCAAAGCCCTTTTTTCTTTCCTCCGTGGTCCCCACCGAAGTCAAAGGCCCAAGCCTTCAAGTTCTCTCTGCCAAAGTCTCCCAAATTTGCATCCAAAAGTCCCTCTTTTTGTAGTTATCTGCTCCACTCCTGGAATTGGGTCCAGATACCAAATATGAGTAAATACCAGCAATTAACACAATATTTGTCCGGGATAGAAGGGGAAATTAATAATAAAATTACTAACAAATTATACCCTATCAGTCCTACTTATCCTGCGATGTTCACCCCACTCCGTCTCATCTTTGTGGCCATTGGAGAAACTCTGTTCCTGGACGAAGTATTAACAGTTGGGGGGTAAATATTTATTTATAGTATTGGAGCACATCTCTATAGTTAATTGCATTAGAAAGTTCACCTTTTTCACCATCAATTGGCAATTATTATTTTTGTAGCTTGCTTGGTATGTCTCTCATCATCATCGGCTTCTATTCTTTCCTATGGGCAAAGAATAAGGAGATAAAAGCCAAGACGACAAATGCTGATGCTGAAGTAGAAAGTATGCCCGATGAATCAGCAACTGCGTAGTGAATGTTTTAGAGAGTGTACTTGAATTATTATTAAAATGTATTTCAATCAAATTTGTCAATGTTAAAATCTTTTGTACATAAATATTCTGTAGTATATAAAATGCAGTTTTTTATTTTGCTTGAACAAACGTGAATTTCACTCTAGAAGCTAACATATCAAACTTAACACTTCTAATTGAACTGAAGCGGTGGAAAACAAGAGGTTTGGGAAATGAAGAGGTGAGATGTGAAATCAAAATAGCTTTGTCATCAAGGAAAACATTGAACGTAGAATGCAAAACTGGAAATCCAAATTGCTAAGCTCGACTGGGAAAGAAATCTTGATCAAACCAGTCTCAATGGCCATGCCCACTTATACTATGTCTTGTTTCGAATTGCCTTACAGGTTATGTAAAGATATCTGTTCACTTCTATCAAAATTCTGGTGGGGTGAGCAAGACAACAAAGACAAAATTCATTGGATGGCTTGGGAGAAGTTGACCAAGGAGAAGAAGAATGGTGGCCTCGGGTTTAAGGATTTACAAAGCTTTAATAGAGCCTTGCTAGCCAAACAGATTTGGAGAATCATAAGGAATCCACATCTGTTGTCTAGCAAGGTGCTAAAGGCAAAGTATTTCCCTAACAACTGCATCCAAGAGAGCAAAGCCCAAAAGAACGCATCATGGTTCTGGCAAAGTGTTATGAGCAGTAGAGAGGCTATGTGGAGGGGAGTAAGAAGACGCATAGGAAATGGGAAAAAAACCAGCATTTGGAACGACCAATGGATCCTAAGCAATGGCAAAGGGAAACCTGTTACGGTCAAACCACAAGGATGCAAACTTGACAAAGTTGCTGACTTGATCAGTAACTTCAGGTGGAATAGACCTCTCATTTTCAAGACGTTTTGTAAGGAGGATGCAGATAATATTTTGAAAATCCCAATCAGCATCGCGGGAAGAGATGATAACACCTTCTGGACAAGGAACATAAATGGGGAGTACACGGTACAGTCTGGATACAAAATGGAAATGGAAAGAAAGGAGGAAGTGATTAGGAAAGAAGGTGAGGGAGTGGAAACGAGTTTTAACTCAGTGACCCAGCAAGTGTGGAAGGTTTTGTGGAGCTTAAACATCAGCCACAAAGTTAAGATGTTCATTTGGAAAGGTATCTCGGATGCGGTACCATTCAAGGAGCTAATATGGAGGAGAATCAAAAGGGGAGATCCAATATGTTCTGTATGCGCTGAAGAGGTGGAAACACTGGAACACATGCTACTTAAATGCAACAAAGTACAGGACATTTGGAAATTGGCTCCTATCCATTGGGATGGTATTGCATACAGAGCGGATAAATTCAAAGACTGGTGGGCAGGAGTTTCTGAAGCTAGATGTAGGAGACAAGGGAAATATCATATAGGCCTTACGGCATATATATTGTGGCTAATATGGAAAAGTAGGAACAACAAGGTGTTCAACAACAAAGACAGGGACCCAGCTGCAATTATAAACAAAGCATGCAGAGCTTGGGAGGAATTTGAAAATGCAGCAGGGAAAGCTAGGCGTTGGAGCGAGGGGAAGATAGCAGTAGCTTAGCAACAAAGGGACCAAAAAGAAGAGCAGCCAGAGCATGCCACAAGTGTAGGAACAACATTGAGAATCACAGTGCAATGGAGTAAGTAGGACAATATCGTTGGGTATGGCATTGTAGCATATGATGGAACACAACAGGAATTATTGGCTTGGGGGATGAAAGAAAGGGCAGTGGATAGCCAACTTCAACATCTGGCTGAAGGTGTCAAGTTACCCCAAATTAAGGCAGCCGAACAAGGTTGGCGTTTGATTAACATAGGTGTTCCTTGTCGCGCCCCATTTTTGAAAATAAAGGAAAAGTCGTTTGAAATCATAATGTGTAGTGTGCATGAAATATGTGAAGTGTGTGAATGTGAGAAATAAAGGAAAAGGCCATGGGACTTTTAAATGCGATCGTTTGGCCAAAATGATAATCTAAAAAGGTTTTTAAACAGAAAAAGTAGGAGTCACCACTTGGTATTGAGTTGCGGTGTACCAAGTCACCCAAAAAGTAGTTTTTGAAAAAGTGAAGTAAAAAACCTTTTTTAAATGACTCCTAGCCTATGAAAATCAGAGAGACGAGTTCGGGGGTCACGGTTAGTAAAAGGGAAGGCAAAGACAAAGTCTAAGGCACCTTTTTACCCTAACCTAAGCTAGTTGCGTGATTTAGTCATAATTTTCCTTAATTTCTAACCAAAAGATGTATTGCATTTGGATGCGTCTAATATGAATGCAAACCTAAATCTAATGATTGGTTTGAAAGGAACAAAATGTCTCTTTTGAGACTCGATTGGTCCTAATCACATGAATTGTGATAGCCAATGTGAATCCTCAAAGAGGTCACGAATAAATGCAAATGAATGCTCGAGTAACAATGAAAAAAAAATGAGAGTGTGCGAAAATGTCTTTAAGTGTAAAAACGAGTGTCAGGTGCAAATGTGCAAATTGCAAATGTGAAAATGGGTGTGTAAAGTGCAACGGTGCAAATGAGTATATAAAAGTGCACGTGTGCAAATGTGAGAGAATGTAAAGTGAAGTGACAGTGTGCAAAATGATAAAGTGGATAAAGTGATAGTGTGCAAAGTGGTAATGTGCCTTAGAAATACATGAGCCCTAGAGGAATGCGAGCAAAACGGGTGCAGGAAGACCCTAAATCGTGACTTTTGATTTGCCTTTTGGTTAGAAAGAAAACAAGCGTACTAAGGCTATGTGTAGCCAAACTCGTATGTTTCCCTTACCAGAAGGGTGACTCCCTAACCTAATCAAGCAGATGACCCTAATAACTAGAATGAAATGCAAAGTCCTAAAGATTGTGTTTCAAATGCAGGTAAAGGGTGAAGGTTCATGCAAAGATGTAAAAATTCTAAAATGAAAAATGAATGAAATGTAGTGAAGGCATGCGAGTATGCACTAGCGAGGGATGGCCCTATTAGGTCTAGCATTGGACTAGTCTTTTGCTAACGCTCTCTCACAAGCATTGGACTTGTAAGAGCTCGAGGGGAAGACCATGACTAGCATTGGACTAGCCACGGTAACGTGCATTCCATCCACATAATCAAATATAATACTAAAGCAAATATACATGCAAAGCATATAGTTTCACATCGTACGTAACACATAATCATGATATCTAAATGCAAAG